TTCTTTTGTAACTAATAATTTTTCTCTCTCTCGTTTCCCTTTCTTTCTTACCTTTTTTATCTCCTTTCCCCTCCCCTCCATTCCATCTTCTCTCTTTCTCTCTCTTCTCCTTTAATATTATCCCTATTCTCTTCCCCCATCCTTTCCCCTCTTCTTCCTAGATGGTAATACAAATAGATAGATAAGATAGATACATAGACAGACAGATTATCAGATACATAGAGAGAGCGAGAGAGAAAAAGAGAGAAGGAGGAAAAACAAATAAACAGACGTAGTGGAAGGTAATGAAACCAGTAACTCCTTTGGAAAATAATAGTAATAATGATGATAATACTGATGACAGCAAGAATAATGGTAATATGATGATAATAACAACAATAAGGATAACGATGATGATGATGATGATGATGATGATGATGATGATGATGATGATGATGATGATGATGATGATGATGATGATGATGATGATGATGATGATGATGATGATGATGATGATGCGACAATCCATAGCACCGGCAGGGGATCGAACTCGCGCCAATCAATAGTCTAGACTCGAACAAAGATCGGATTATGGCATAAGTTTATTTTCTCCATTCTCTTTATCCTTTTCTCCTTCTCTCCTTTCTCTTCCTCCGTTTTCTACTTCATGGCCACTTTCTTTTTTTCTTGTCTCTTTTCCATCTTCGTCTTTCTCTCCTACACTTCTATCTATACCATTTCGTTTGCTCCGCTTTCCTCATTTTCGCTTCCCTCTCTTTTCTACTTGTTCCATTTTCTTGCTTCCACTTTCGCCTGACTTTCTTCCGGTCTCTCTCTGTTTTTTTTTTTTTTTTTTTTTTTTTTTCTTGCTGCACTTTCCTTCTCTTTCATCTCTCTTATCTTCCCTATTGATATTTTCCCTCTCTCTCTTTTTGTTAAGCATTTTAATTCTCTTTCGCTTTTCCTCTTTATTAGGTCTACTTTTCCATATTTTTACTTGTTCTTTTCATCTTTTTATCTTTTCTCCACTCTTATTAAAAAAAAAAAAAGAAAAAAAATAAAATACAGTGAAATGCAAACAAGATCTGATAATAAGGTAAATTACAACAATCCATTTCACACCAATCCAAAAGATATTCATCCACTAGATGTTAGCACAGGATGCAGCTGTCACAATGCAATAGCAGTAGCATTTCACACCAAGGTAGCTATTCTGTTTTTTTGTTTTGTTTTGTTTTTTTTTCGGACCATAAGTAGCATTCCTTATTGCATGACACTGTGAACTACGGTGTCAACAAACCTTTCATATTATAAAGATAAACATTAAGCAACTGTAAAGAGGAGATCGTGCAGTTCGCTCTATTTTCCAAGTCCCAAAACAACCATGATTATATTAAATCGGATCTCATTGCAAACAGACCATTGCTTCTCTTCTGTGAATTCGTGTTTCTTATCTGAAACAGGCAAGGCGGAAAGCAAACAACACTAAACAAGACAATAACAATAGAACTTTTTTCCTTCCTTCCCATTTGCTGCTCCGTTTTGATTTTCATTACTATATGAAAGAATTTGACTATAACTAAAATTTAGCTTTTACAAAAGTGATTTTAATAAACTCATTTATGTAATTTTACATACATCTCTGTCTTGTGTGTGTACTTTCACCCAGAGAGTAAAATTTGATTAACTTTACTGTATACCTGCCATTGCACTAAAATATGTCTAATCTTTAAAAATGAAAAATAAGTCACCAACATTTTTAAATCACTCTTTTCTTGGCTCCTTCAAAAAGCTGTTCCTGAAATATCCCGCTAAAAGAAAGAAATCTTTATTAGAAAAAAAGTGGAAGGGTTTGTATGTTTTATTATGGGAATCTCTCTCTCTCTCTCTCATTTTCATTATACCTACATATCTCTACGAAGTATGAAGATGAGAAATCCTGGAAAAAAAATATATATATATATATATTTGCTTGTTTTTCACATATCTTGTTGGCATACTCACTGAAGTTATCGTTGTTATCAATACTCTTCACAGACTCCCTAATCACCAATGCCATTAGAATACGTATTTCAAAAATACCAATAATCCATATAGTTTATTTACAGGCGTTATCACTTTCGTCTGCGAGTCTACCTTTGTTGGTCGAAATTTGGGATCCGAGGAGTCAGCAGTCATATGTCCCTCGATCGCAAATAGGACCATCTTTCATTTCATATTTCTTTAAAATATATAGCTGCACTCTTTCATGTTAATAAATCCATCTAATACACTATTCATCTCACTCAGTCATTCCTTTCTCTCCTTGTAAGAATATGATCATCAAAATAATCACGATTATAATACAGTAGATAACGTTCTACTTTACTAATTGTAAGGATAATGGAAGTAACATAGATTCAGAGATATATAAGCTGAAATATGGATGATACCTTACATGAAACAGCAACCGACGCATGAAAACTTGCATTTTCTTTGCTCAAAGGTAGATTCAGGAGACTAAAATATGTAGATGCTGACCTTCCATGAATAAAAAAAACAACAGTAGCTTGCTGTGTACTGCACACCATAACTTTAGATTTTTCAGAGGAAGAGCAACTGATCCAGCAACAAGAAAATATAGTTCCATTCAACTAAGAAAATGATGCAATGGGTGAACAGAAGAGGATAGCTTTGGCAGCTGCTCTAGAGTGAAATGCTCTGTGGCAAATTAATATTACAATTGATATCTGTATGTGGTAAGATTATTACAATGCAGAGTTTCTAGATATTGTGATTGCCTATTGGTTTATTTGTATGCTTGTCCATATATTGCTAATAAAAGTTTCTGCAAAGATGCACTTTGATATTAATTATTTTTAAGTTGTGAACATTCTCCTACACATATTACTTGGTGGTGTATATGTAATATATTTTATTATTTTAATAAATGTTCTCTTCTATTTTTCTTCTCATTTTCAATTGCTAAACACCCTCTTTAGGATACAAGTAAACAATTTTACTTATCAAATACATATATTCAGCACAAGAACATGTTTTTGGTCCTTGGAATATATCATTTAAGAACTAAGAAATCTTGTGTAAAATAATCATATAAAAAGAATCCAAAATGGTATAAAATTCATTACGAATCTCCTTCATCATCCGTATCACCAATCCTTCCAAGATTATCAAGGAGTTTCATTTAAAAAAAAAAAAAAGTTTCTTTTTCATCTCGAGTTAAATTTTCCTTCTTTCATTTTCATTTTCTATAATTTCCATTTCCCTTTCCCTTGCATTTCTAAAATACCTCGCGTGGTTGTTCAAATCTTCTTGCATTTTCTGGATTTGATTAAACATCCTTTCTCTTGCTGTTGGTGGTCTAACTCTCCTCCTTGTTCTCAGAGGTTGTGGTGGATGTGTTGGCGGTTGTGGTGTTTGCACTTGTGGTTCTGGACGTGTTGGTTGTGGTGAAGGCATTGGTGTCTGGAGTGGCACTTGAGTATCTATCACAGGAGGGTCTGTTATTGCCCTTGTCACTTGAGGCTCACTTGATATGTTTGTGGCAACTGTGGCTGTGGGAGGTGTCTGGGCGGTAATTGGAATCGTTTCTGCTGTCGGCTCAACTATTTCAGTTTCTATCAACTGTGGATGTACAGTTGGCCGACGACCCAGGAAAGAACATAAAAGTTCATAATGCTGAGGTTCCCTCATTCTTGAGCGGCCAGTCTCTTTCTTGTTATCTTCATATCTCACAAATGCGTGCTTTATGGATCGCCACTTAGCACCCACCCGAGATTTGGTTGTCTGGTATCTGAAATCAGGAAATGTATGTATTAACAACTGACTGAATGCATTATCCACTAAATGAGTTATATGTTTTTGATTTTTTTAAATAAGATACAAAGCTCACTAGGGATATATATATATATATATATATATATATATATATATATATATATATATATATATATATATATATAATATATATATATATATATATATAGATATATAAATATATATACAAATATATATACATTTATATATAGACATATACTTATAAATATATAAATATATATATGACACAAATCCACAAACAATATTTCCAGTTGAACTGCAGCAAGACAAAAACTAAAAACAGATACATTTTTTTTAATCAGCATCACTACCTGTCTACCAAATAATATATATGAACTGACAAGGGTGGTGGAGAATGTCTGCATGCCTGAGTCGGCAATGCAGCCTACATATGTACATATAAAGTATGATATGTACATGCACCCCCCCCAAAAAAAAAAAAAAAAAAAAAATGTACAAGATGGTGCAATGTCAGGAACTTAACCTATACATGTAGAAAAATGTATGAAATATACATGCCCAAGTAAGCACATATAATGTAAGCACAAACACAGAATAAGTAGAGGCTAGAACAGGAAAGTGTGAGTCTATATATAATCATACAAATTAAAGGGAAATGCACAGGTACTATAGTTCACCCACAGTATACTTATTGTTCAAATAAATTCCATTCAAAGCCAATCTTGCACATATGCAAGCATCAGCAGGTCATCTAGGCAGAGCATAATAACCAAATAACATCAGATTCATAACAAAACTTTAGAAAGATAAACTTCTGCTGTAGACACAACCTATTAAATATAAAGACCAGTACATTCATTTAAATGACATGCTGCCTGCTAAAATCAATCACTATACAACATAAAATTGATGAATATATCCTTTGTAAATTACTGTGAAGATGTCAATGAACATCTGGTAATTCTAATAAATATGATGAAGTTCTGGGACTACTCTTACTATACTTAAAAAATTAAAGATCGATAATCTTTTAGAATGGTACTAAATCCAGTAAACTATACCACTTAAAAAATTCTGTCAAATAAAACCCGAGAAGTTATATATAATACTTACATCTTCAAGTAAGGAATCTCTAATCCTTTCCCATACTTTTGTGCGTCTCTGCTTCTTCCTTGTCAGTTCAGGATACATATCATGGGTTTGGAAAAAAAGAATAAGCTTAA